AAGAAGTTCTTTCGGTGAGGAACTTTATCATTTTGTTTTTATCGGTTTCTCATTATCTGATTATTCAGTTAAGTGGGTATAGCTAAACCAGAAACAATGATTTTGTCAAAACGAGAATTATTTTAAAAAAACATTAAAGAGTGCTGCCTTTGGGACGTCGTCCACACAGTGTAATTCTCCTTTCTATCACAAACACCTCGAAACAAAAGATGCAGCGAGAAAAAAAGGGATGAAGATAAACAGTCGGCGAAAATATTAGCATTTAATTTCGATCTTCAATTTGTTTTGTCAACGCCTAAAGGAGCTACAGGACTTTGTGTTTATGTGAGAAAACTTTTTATAATTTGACCATTTATTATTTCAGAGAAGGGAGCGTCCAGTTTTTCATATAGGATGAAACCAACGGAAAACGCGGTGGTACTGAAATTGCTACATGTATATTTAAATACATCATGTCTTACCCTGAGATTGAACATGTCAAAAGTGATGTCCGACAATTGCTTAGGACAACAGAAAAACTTTGCTTTTTCTGCCATGTGTCAATATGTTGTTAATTGTCACCAAAATTTAAAAACAATTGACCGTGGTTTTTTTTTGTACAGGGTCACTCAAAAATGGAATGAGATTCTATCCATTTAAAAATTGAATCTAAAAATGTCACCTCTATAGGTACACCCTTAAAGAATGGGCACAAATCATAAGACTTTGCACGCACTAAGCCATGCCCATTTGAAGTAGCATACCTACTTCATAATGACTTCTTAGATTTCTACCAAAGAAAGGTGACATTTGAACTAGAAAATAAAATAAAACCAAAGAACAAGCAAAATCAATATGAAAAAGAAAATTAAGTAAAAGATGAGGAGCAAACAAGTAATGGAAATAATAATTCTAAATATAGTGATGGTATATGGTACCAGTATCGGCAAAACGAAAATAAATTTTTGTGAAGACTAGAATTGATGGAAACTTTTTATCTCTTGAAACCAAACAAAACAGTATAAACGTGTATGTGACCAAAACTTATTACCTTGGCCATACCACCATAATTACCAATATTTACCAAAATTAAGGGCAAAAGAATTGTGGGAAAAAGAAAAATATCGTGGCTTCGTAATCTACGTGAATGGTTCGGGTGTAGTTCGATTGAACTTTTTAGGCGCGCTGCTAACAAAGTCGCAGTGGCCATGATGATTTCCAAGCTCCGCTAGGAGTGGCACGAGAAGAAGAAGTACTGCCAGAGATTGGGTGGAATGCATAAAACTTAGTATCTGCTAATGCTTCAAGTAATTCTACATTTTTGTAGTATATGCTACACTTACAAAGCATTTTGCTTTCCTCGGTAGTACTTGCTACTATTTACCAGATACATAGAAGGATGTACTATGCTTTTGAAGTATTTGCTAGTTTAGTAGAATTTGCTTCAGTTTAGGTGAAGTTGGTGGATGAACGACTTCGGCGTAGATGTTTTTTGTTAAAAATACATTTATGAATGTTCGTCGTAGAAAAATCTACAAACTAGGAAGAATATACAATAACGATATTTATCGTAAAATATTCAGGTAATTATCATGAATCGTGCAGTTTTTCTCATACAGTGCGCTGGAATAAGTTTTACCCCCATATTAACTCATTTATTTTTAGTATATATGCAAAACGCTTGAAGAGGTCGATTTTTAAAATAATCATAGTATATTATAGCATCAATGTTTCGAACTTTAAGCAATCCTTCTTCAAGTGACAGTCATAACTTTGATTTTTTAAATGGGTAAGTGGGAAAGTACGGGGGGGTTGATAGGTGATGAAGGATATGGTATTGCACCGTGGTTGTTGACAACTTTTAAAAATTCAACCACACCTATTCAACAAAATTATAATACACAATTCATGCGAAGGAAGTTGTGTCATCGAGGGCTGTTTTGGTTAGCCGAAAAGGCATTTTCCAATGTTACAGTATACTTTTACGCCTAAAAACTGAAAACATTCCAAAACATATTGTAAGTGCATTTGTACTTCACAATATATCTAAACATCTGCAGGATTCGTACCATGATTTTGATCCAGTTCAAATTGTAGTGCAAGATGCAAATGAAGAGATACCTGAAGGAAATCAAGCACAAATTTGAAATCGAGACACAGGACGTAGAAATAAGGTTGCGGAGGCTCTATTTCGTAATGCCAACTAATACATATATTATTACCACATGTACAGTGTCTAATAAAAATTCGTAACAAATATTTTGATTTTTATTCTATTAATATTAAACAAAATACAACATAATAACATATTTTCATATTTAGTTTATAACTTTGTTTTTATAAAAATACATTTCTACGTACAAATTTTGTCACTGTACCATATCACGTTGAACTATATGGTTGACTAATTGCTCACCAGCTTCAGCAAACTTTATCAATGCATTTGCGGCCCGTTCTTGAGCTTCTGCCGAAGACTGTCTGCACAAGAAATTTGAGCTTCGGCTGCTTCAATTTGTTTTCGTAAACAGGTCTTCTGTAGTTCAATCACCGACTCCTCCTTCGCACTATGATATTTGGGAGCTCTGCCTGTTAGTTTTTGGCAACCAGAATTGGATTTAAAAAGAACGTTTTCATCATTATTTTTTGTGATGAAAACCCAATCTCCTCTGTTACACTGGCCAGACAAGTACCTGGTACCCTGTGCAAGACTGGATTTTCTCCAATGTTTCATAACTCATAGAATTTTCTTTGCCAGTCAGTTAGTACGATTTTTTGTTACCAGTTTTTTTACGTCAACAATTTTTTTAAACTGTGTTTTCATGTTTTTGAATTTCTTCATAATTTGTTTTGAATCCAGGTTTTTTTCGATATCAAATAAAATTTGATAATTTTCAAGAAGATTAACAAACAATACTTGTTCATTTTTGTCTTCGCCCAACTCTTTTGTCGCTTCTGAATCTAAACCACTCATTTTTACTCACTACTTACTTATTTAATAATAATTATTCACAAAACACAAGCATATGAAAAACCACATGAAAAATTCGTTCCAATACGATTGGTGTGATGCGCATAAGGGCACTCCGGCTGGCGCTACGTTTAGTAGTAGATCCTTCAGGTCAGTAGCAAGTACTTCGGTGGTGTAGTACGGTCTCTTCAACAAAGCACCTCCTTTTATGTAAAAGAAAATGCTACAAACCAGATACTATTTACTGAAGCAATAGCATCTACTACGTTTTATGCATTCCACCCATTGTCTTCCAGAACCTGACTCAATGGAAGACAACGATAACGTTTAATTCAACATTTAAAACTTTTAATTTACCATTATTTTACAATTGAGGGTCATGACTGAGTACTTGAGGCATCTACAGTACGTGAAGTTCCCAAATTAATGTTCTTTACGTTTCTAATTACATTAATTTTCTAGCAATACATACTTTCATAAAAACACTTAACAATTTTTTTAAACATAATTTTCGCATTTTATCCTACAATTTCAATTTTTAATTAAATCAATTGTAATACTCTTTGTAAAAACATTAAAATTATTTTCATTTTAATCCTTTTCAATTAAGGCTGTTTTATCGGTACACCAAACCTAGATACAGTGTTTTCTCTGTTATTTACCGTCAAAATATCTCGAAATTTGGACACGTTATTCAAAATTTTGTTGCCTTTAAACTGATGGTTTTACTTTTTAAATTTTTTTTAAAGTTCTTAAGTTTAACGTTCTATTATAACCAAACTTTTTACACCCATCACTTGAAAGAGTATTTTTTTCTGTAATCGTTGGTTTTTTTTTCACCTTTTTATGTCCAGTAATAATCGAGAAAAGCGTGTTCAAACTTTGAAGAAAATTGCTAAAAAATACTGAAATCTAATAGTGAAACGTGTTACTCATCATTGGCATTTAGTTTCACCGTTATCGGCTGCGTGACGTCAAATCTCATGAACGTACGGTAAGATAGTTTGATTTGAAATCAATTTCAAGCTATAACTGCGAAATTGTTTATTTGTTTGTGACGAAAAATTGTATTTTTTTTTTTTGATAATATTTTTATGTTATTTTAAATTTATTATAAATAAACACCATGATGTTTTTTGCAGTCACGTTACACAAATTTATATTCAATACTCTATTTAGCTAAGACATATAAATTAAAAATGTGATAATTATTTTTAAAACATCTACGATAATCAAACAAAAAAGGTATTTCCGACAAAAGTAATTTGAATGGAGAATAATGCATTTGTTGTCATTAAACCACCCGCCGGCCGGCGCCACTGCGAAAACAGCTGTATCCCTCGTCGGCTGGCGTAAGCAGTGAGGAAAAGTAAATGATACGCCAATTTCAAATCGCAGTGCTACTGCGATTTGAAATGTAACTGCTAAAAAAGCCTTAAAAATATAAATGTGTTAACATTGGACCAATATGAACTGTCGAAAATGCCACATTCGCAATTTTTAAACATTGCACCAAATGAATGTGTTAAAATTATACCAATATAAACTAACGAAAATGCCACATTCGCAATTTTGAGACATCGTACCAAAACAAAACCTTGATTATCACAAAAAGCAAAGTATCGAATGTGATTTTTTGGAAAGAAAAAAACAGTAAACAGTTAAGTAAAAATTTTTCCATTTGTCAAGCGCTGATTTAGGATTCTCTAAAAAAGAGTTATCTTGCTATCCTGAAAAGTACTACTTTTCACATTCGGTAGTTGGAAATGGTAGGGACGATGTGTTTACTTATTCAGCGACATTCAATATTTTTCTAGAAATTACTTATATATCGGCTATCAATATAAATAAGTGGGCTTTTAATTTTATGATGCATTCTAATTGTAGCAGTATATTTAAAATGTATTAAGAGTAATAAATAAATAGGGTAAATAAATCGTGTCGTAAGTTTAAATTCCCATTAGAAGTGGTTTCAAGCGTGAAGTGATTTTGTCAAATAATTTATAAAAAAAAATAATAAATTTTTGGCGAAAATATAAATAAAAAAAGACATAGTACTTTTAAAGTTTATTCCAGAGTGTATAAACGTTTGCAAACAACTGCTAGTGCGTTAATTGTTCGGTATTTGATAAAAACTATTTAAATACTTTGAAAACGCAATTTCACAAACAATATTTATTTAAAAACAGTACAAATTCGCATGTATTGGTTCGGTGATGCTACTAAAATATATAAAGACCGGAAGAAAAGTCAGATGAGATATATACAAAGACCGATGAAAAACTCGAAAATCTTTCAAGTGCGAAGAAGTTTCTCGAACAGTTGATAAACTACAGAACAATGTAGACAAGAGATGCGTTATTGGGCATCCAGGTACTCACCAGAGATATTAAGATCTAACTGTTGATGTAGATACCTTCTTTGCTGACTACGAGAACGTATTTTTGACATTGTTAAAGACTGGAAGTAAATCTTTATTTTTAATGACATAGATCTGGATGGACGAGACATTAGGATAATGGCCTGCTTGTCCGAGCGGGCAGTTTCTTCTAATCTTACAGCTAATATTAGAATTAAAGTTTAGAGGTACGAAGAATTTCCTAGTATGAGAGGAGTTCGTAAGGAATAAGCAAACTGTCTAAAAGAAATTTCATATTAAAAGGGATTTTCACCAACGTGCATTTTCAAAATCTCTTTTCAAATTACATTTCCGAGTAAATTGCTCAAAACAAATTTCTCATTCAAAGGATTTTTCACCAGTATGTCTTTTCAAATGACTTTTCAAATAAGATTTTTGAACAAATTGCTTAAAACAAATTTCACACTTAAAAGGTTTTTCACCAGTGTGCGTCATCAAATGATTTTTCAACCCACTTAAATACGAAAAGTGCTTTAAACAAATTTCACATTCAAAGATTTTTTCACCAGTATGTGTTTTCAGATGACTTGTCAAATTAGATTTTTGAACAAATTTCTTAAAACAAATTTCGCATTCAAAGGGTTTTTCACCAGTGTGTATTTTCAAATGACTTTTCAGATTAGGTTTGTGAGCAAATTGCTCACAACAAATTTCACATTTAAAAGGTTTTTCACCAGTGTGTGTCCTCATATGTCTTTTCAAATCATTTGCTTCAACGAAGTGCTTCAAACAAATTTCACATTTAAAAGGTTTTTCACCAGTATGCATTTTCAAATGACTTTTCAAATGACATTTATGAGTAAATTGCTTAAAACAAATTAAACATTCAAAGTGTTTTTTATCAGTGTGAATTTTCAAATGACTTTTCAAATTAGATTTTAGAGAAAATTGCTTAAAACAAATTTCACACTTAAAAGGTTTTTCACCAGTGTGCGTCATCAAATGATTTTTCAACCCACTTAAATAAGAAAACTGCTTTAAACAAATTTCACATTCAAAGATTTTTTCACCAGTATGTGTTTTCAAATGACTTGTCAAATTAGATTTTTGAACAAATTTCTTAAAACAAATTTCGCATTCAAAGGGTTTTTCACCAGTGTGAATTTTCAAATGACTTTTCAAATTACGTTTGTGAGCAAATTGCTCAAAACAAATTTCACATTTAAAATGTTTTTCAACAGTGTGTGTCCTCATATGTCTTTTCAAATCATTTGCTTCAATGAAGTGCTTAAAACAAATTTGACATTTAAAAGGTTTTTCACCAGTATGCATTTTCAAATGACTTTTTAAACGGCATTTATGAGTAAATTGCTTAAAACAAATTAAACATTCAAAGGGTTTTTTATCAGTGTGAATTTTCAAATGACTTTTCAAATTAGATTTTAGAGAAAATTGCATAAAACAAATTTCACATTTAAAAGGTTTTTCACCAGAGTGTATCCTCATATGTCTTTTCAAATCATTTGCTTGAATGAAGTGCTTAAAACAAATTTCACATTTAAAATGCTCTTCACCAGTATGCATTTTCAAATGACTTTTCAAATGAAATTTATGAGTAAATTGTTTAAAACAAATTTCACATTCAAAGGGTTTTTCACCAGTGTGCATTTTCAAATGACTTTGCAACTGACATTTTTGAGTAAATTGCTTAAAACAAATTTCACATTTAAAAGGTTTTTCACCAGTGTGTGTCCTCATATGTTTTTTCAAACCATTTGCTTGAATGAAGTGCTTAAAACAAATTTCACATTTAAAAGGTTTGTCACCAGTATGTATTCTCAAATGTATTTTTAAATAACTTTTTTTGGAAAAAGATTTTGAGCAAATCTCACATTTGACTAGGTTTTCTGTAGAGTCCTGCTGGATATATTTTTCATTGTTAGTAAAATCTTCAGGTAATGTTTTCTGAATTTTTTCTCCCCTCGGTGAAAAGCCTAAAATAAAAATAGGAACATAAACATTCAAATTTTATGCATAATTAACACAATGAATTTTTTAGATCAAAATAGAGGTTTACTTAGTATCAAAAATGCTTTACGTATATGGAAAATGATATTGCGAGTTAATAGTAAAAGTAAAAATTAATGGCATGTCTCGCAAAACTAAAAACCAAAAATGGTATATAGATGGAAGGCAACCGTATATACGTATTTCTGACTATTGGTCGTCTTCAGTACGGTGCAGCCAAGTTAGAAAGGGGGCATTTTAACTTGGAAAAGGATCCTGTCGTGATCCTTTCCCAAGTTAAAATGCTTTATATCAAAGTTGAAAGTAGGAGGGTTATAGTATGTATGCGTGGAGCAGGAGGGTGAGTACTAGTATAGTTGGATAATTTCAGCAGTGTGTGTACTGGATTATAAAGGTTTTATATATATATATATGACACTTCGAGTCTGTCAAAAAGTTACTAACTTCGAAAAAAAATAATTACTAAAATCACTAGACAGTTCGGACTGGAATAGCGAACCGGACAGTTGACAATAGAACGTATATTACATATCAATAAATACCGTCAAGATCTCATTTTCTATTGACATCCTAACATTAAAAATTCATATGTGCTTAAGCCAAACTGCTGACTGGATTAATTTATATTTTTTATAGACAATTAAATAAATTATAATAAAAACTATTGTTACTGGTTTTGCTTTCCACATAAAGTAACTGTATTTTCATTCATATATGTCCATTAATCAAACCATGACAATGACATATATAGTGACAATATAGTTATTTTTAATAAAAAAATTTTATTATATTTATTATGGTTTGTTTTGTAGAGTACAATATTAAAAACTGTAATCTCACGACTAGTAAGTAAGACAATTAACAATTTTAACTAGTTAATTTATATTTCTTTTTATAGATGTCTTGAAAAAGAATTAAATATAATTCGAAAGCTTGACAGTAAGTCAAAGAGTTTTCTTTGTCTTGTGGGCCAAATAAACTGACTGCATCCTCAAAAATCACAACATATATATATATATATATATATATATATATATATATATATATATATATATATATATATATATAAAGCTGCCATCGAGTTTAGAGCGAATAAGACCTATATACTTTTAATATTGTACATTCGCTAGCGCCCCATTGGTAGTGGGAAAGTGTTTTGATAATATTTTAAGATTTTAGGCACTCTGCTCTAGTTTACTGAATATGTTGTTTCCAAGAAAGTCGGGAGTCGAATATTAGTCCTAGAATTTTGCGGTGATCGACGACTGGGAGAGGGTGGTTATTCACTAAGATTTTAGGGGTAGTGGAGAGTATTTTTCTGGTGAATTTAATAAGTTGTAATTTTGTAGATGAGAGGGACAGGCCGATGGCAGTCAATCTATTTTGTAATAAGTCCACTGATGTTTGGAGGGAAGACTGTGGCATATATGGCTAATCGATATAATAAACAATGTGGGGCTTAATACAGAGCCCTAAGGGACTCAGTCTTGTTGGATGTGGTGTGATGATAGGCAACCATGTACAGAGACTCTGAAGGATCTAGAGCTAAGAAAGTGCTTGATAAATTTAAAAATATTTCCATATAGGCCGTATAATAATAGTTTATTGAGAATAATCTGTCTAGGTATTTTATGGAAAGCAGCTTCAATATCAAAAATGCAGGTAATCACTTCTTGTCTGATATTAATAGCTTCGGCGATGTGGGTATGAAGAAGGACGAGGTTATTGCTTGTGGAACGATGTCAGCGAACACCAGACTGTTCTTTAAGTAAAATTTGGAGTTTTTCAATAAACCATAAAAGACGCCCGTTTATAGTATATCGGTCTATAGGACTGAGGAAATATTGGTGTTTGGCCATGTTTTGGGACAGTTATAATTACTGATGTGTTCCATTGAGTAGAAAATATTTAAGAAAACCAAATAGAACTATATATGTCTAAGAAGTATTTTTGCAGGATAAAGCAGATGTAAGTTCAGAAAGTTAAAAAGGAGAATTAATATTGTCAATATCTTGTAAGTGCTGTGAAATGAGGTTGTAGGAGAGCGGTTTTTGTGTAGAGGATGAAATAAGGGGTTTGAGTTTGTTGTGAAATAGTTCCTCAAATGTATTAGCCAGGGTATTGCAAATAATTTGGCTGTTGCTAGAAGTGCTGTTAGAGGTTAAATGGGTAATTTTGGTGTTAGTTTTTTGTCCCTGAACTTGTCGAATTTTTTTCCACATTTGGGAGGGATTTGTGTTATCATTCAAAGACGATACATAGTTATGCCAGGATGTTTTCTTGCTCTGCTTCACAACGTATTTGGTTTTGGCTTTCAGCTTTTTATACTTAATTAGATTTTCAGGACTTTTATGTTTGCGGTATTGATTGAGCAGTCTTTGATTGCCGAATTGCGAGTTCACATTGAGAGTTCCACCAAGGTACAACTGTATAGGTGGAGCTAATTGTGGTTTTGCCAATGAGTTAATGCTGCTTTAATTATGGCATCTGGAAATAGTTTTATGGACTATATCTCTATACTATTATGGAATAGTTTTATGTTCTATGGATTATATCTCAATATAATTAGAGTTAGGTAATTCGCATATAAGGGATTCAGATTTTTTGGAGAACTCTGGCCAATTAAGCCTTGTTGAAGCGCCAATAACTTCTCACTGAAACTTGGTCATAGGTGTTGTCACGTATAACTATAGGGAAATGGTTGCTGTCGTAAAGGTCGTCCGCTGTTTGTCAGGATAAGTTGGGGGGCCGATTTGGGATCACATATGCTTACATCGATGGCAGAAACAACAACCTGAAGCAATGTTAAAGTGGGTGTATTGAGGACACATGAGCTAGTGCAATCAAGAATATTTTCATTAACTTTAACACGTCCAAATGTACGTGAGTCCCACATGTATTGTGGGCGTTGTGAAGTCTCCTACAAGTATATAGGGTTGGGGGAGTTGGTATACTAAATCAAGGAGGATCGATTGACTGTGAGTAGTGGGATCTGAAATGGCAATTACAGGGAGAGAATCGAGACTTGAATATACTCTATTTTAGGTGGGCGATAGTAGGAGGTGTAGGTTGAGGTTGATCTAAAGGTTAGGGGTGTGATGTTAAATAAATTGTCGGAGGGAAATTTTGGGGCAGAAGTGAGAGGTGCCGAAAAGTGCGTGGAACTATTGTTGGTGGATTTATATGTACGTGGGGCGAAACGGGGGTGGGTAATGGTACCGATGGGTTATTGGCAGGTCTCAGCCGTATGTCCGCTTTTTGCAAAGGAAACATTCTAGATTGTCTGAAGTAACGAAGATTCGAAGGAATGTTTTCAAAATGTATTTATACGAGGTTTACTTTCAAAATTTTCGTTATCTGTATTACGTAAATCGAACGTCGAAAACTAATATATGGAAGAATACTTCCTATCTGTGACGCCAGAACGAATCTGAGATACAGATGAGGCTAGTTGCAAACCAAGTTCGTATTTTAATGCCTGCTCGATGATAAAGTTTATTTGGAATCGATGGACATACATTAGATATTAACAATCCTTTAGTTGGGGAAATCTAGACAGAAACCCAGGAAATAACTGCAACGTAGAGCAGCAGTGGCATTCTGCAAAACCTCTATATTGTAGCCAAGTAAGAAACTACTTACAACAACTAAATTAAGAAAGAAGAATGGATGACAGAGGAAATTCTAGAGTGATGAATGAAAGGAGAAAAAACAAAACCATCAATAAGAACGCGCTATAAACAGCTTCAAAACCAAATAAGAAGAAAAATTAGGGAGGCTAAAGAGAACCTACTTCTCTGAAAAATGTAAAGAAATAGAAGAACTCTCAAAACAGATTATGACAACTTCAAACCTACATAAAAAGTCAAAGAACTAGCCGGAGTAGGAAATAGAAGAAACCTCAAATATATTGCTCGACAAAAATGGAAATACTATATTGGAAACAGAACAAAAACTACGACGATGGAAAAGAGTACATCGAAGAATTATTTCATGACCAGAGAGAAGCTAGTACATCTGTAGATAGCCAAACGGGAGATGTAGGTCCAGAGATAACCAAATCAGAGGTTAGTCAGGCATTAAACTCAATGAAACCAATAAATCTGCTGGTCCAGATGAATTACCAAGCGAGCTACTAAAGTTGGTCAACGAGAAAAACCTGGACATAATAGTAGAACTGTTCAACGCTATCTATACTACGGAATCATTCCTAGAGAAATGTTGACATCAGCATTTGTGTGTTTGCCAAAGAAAGTGAATGCCAAAGAGTGTAGTGACTATCGAACCATAAGCTTAATGTCACATACCTTGAAAATTCTCTTGAAAATTATCCACGCCAGAATACACTCTAAAACTGGAGCTGGATATTAGTGACACTCAATATGGGTTCCGCAATGGTATGGGTACCAGAGAGGCATTATTCTCCTTCAATGTGCTGACACAGAGATGTTTGGATGTTAACCGTCCTCTTTACGTCTGTTTTATAGACTACAATAAAGCGTTTGATAAAGTAAAACATGATCGACTCCTGGAAATTCTAAAAATAAAAACCTAGATGAAAGAGATTTAAGGCTAATAACACACCTTATTACAATCAGCGAGCAATAGTAAGAATCGAAAAAGAAACATCTGAAGAAATGGAAATAAAGAGAGGAGTCAGGCAAGGCTGCATTCTATCACCTCTATTATTTAACGCCTATTCTGAAGAGGTAATTCGAGAAACTCTGGAAGATGAAACAGTCGGCATAAGAGTAAATGGAGTCTTAATTAACAACATCAGATATGCAGATGATACAGTAATAATAGCCGATAGTTTACAAGACCTGGAAAGACTCATGAGCAAAATAGTCATGTGTAGTAGGGAGTACGGACTCTCTCTTAATGTCAAAAAGACGAAGTTTATGAAAATTTGTAAAAACAACTATAATACTAACGAAATCTTGATAGTAGAGGGCCAGCAGATCGA